ATGCTAATCTTCCCTGCCTGAACAGAGGATAACCTTCATCTCTAAAATACATTTTTTAGAGGAGACCTTAGTTAACCAAACCCTACAGCTGTCTGTTAACTCTTCTCTGACGGCGCAGAGGATAACAAATTTGTACTGGTCTTAAAGGTTCTTTTGAATAGAGTGGCACTCACCAACCCTTGGTTGTACAGAAAGATTCAGTCTGGAACAAAGTCAGATCTTTGTTGAGCTTGAAGTTTCAATCTGGATTCAGGTGAGGAGCTCTATCTGAGTCACGGCACCAAAACTGTAGGAAAATTTTTCCTCGTCGAAGCAGAGACCATGAGACGTTGGGATATCTTTCATACAGAAGTTACTCTTTATTGAGGACTCTCTTTGCGTCGCTGCAGTCACCCAAGTCTGACTATAGCTCAGCACAGTAGAGTTTATACCTTTCAAGGGGGAGGGATACATATAGGTGGAGACAATCTAAAGAAAGCATGCAAATGCAGTAGAGGAATCAGCCCGTTACCAAAATTTCCCCAGCCCTGATCTCATCAGCATAACAGTATCATTCAAATGCATAGGTGCTAATCCAATCAGCCTGACAGTATCGCCCATACCTTCACATTATCATAGAGACAAAGGCACAGCTGTGCCTTGAGCTTAGCATTCACCTTTAACTTGGGACCCTTCCCAATGGTCAGGAAGTGCATAAAGACAAAAGGTTAATGTCTCAGACACCTGGGCTGCCTGACTTGATCTTCATCATATTTACCTCAAAATGTAAAACACAATGTACATAACTTTTTCAGTTTATATACTATTACATTGGAACCTAGATATAACATTTTATAAATTTGTAATCCAACATACCCAAAAATTCTGTAATTTACTCTCTCTCAAGTTGTTCCAAACCTGTATGAGTTTTTTTTTTTCTTTTTTTTCCCCCTGCTGAAAACCAAAGAAAATATTTTAAGGAATATGGGTATTTTTTATTTATTTTTATTTTTTTTCAATCTTTGGAGATCAGTGGGGACCAGCAACTGTTTGGTTACCCATATTCTTCAAAAAATATATATAATATAATCTTATTTATTCTGCTTAATATTCTTATTTTTTTACTGAATTCAAAAACCTCCCACACGAAAGTTTTTTGGATGTAGCAGTACTTATATTGTCACCAATCACAACAGACTGGGCCATCTGACCAATCAGAGCAGAGTAAGCTCACGGAAAGGAGGGGTTTAGAGAGACTGAATCTTAGAAATGCTTTGAACGATTCATTTGAGAATCGTTGGAAAATGAGGATATATTAAATGCCTATTTTGAGCTTGCATGCATGTAAAACGTTTGTAGGAGTCTCCCAAAACAATATTAGGAATCTTAGAAATGGCATAATGGGGGCACTTTAACATTATATCAGTATTTAATTTTAAAAAAATATGTACAGTATGAATATCTTCAGTACTGTTATATTGTTACTCCCCCGAGACTGTTATCTTTATTAACAAGGACTATCGAAATAAAAATAAATGCATAAGTTGTCAATATCATATATTAAAATATATTTGTATCAATTTGTGCTTGATATCCAGGCTACTCAAGTAAGATCAGCCAGATGCCAGTCATCCTCACCCCACTTCACTTTGATCGTGACCCACTGCAGAAGCAGCCGTCCTGCAGACGGTCCGTCATCATCAGAACCTTCATCACCAGTGACTTCATGACCGGCATCGCCGCTACTCCAGACAACCAAATCCCTGAAGAGGTGAGAGAGCAGATCCTCCGTCCACACATAAAAACCCTACATCATTTCCACACACACTAACTCGTGCTCCTCTGGCCACAGGTGGTTCTCAAGATGGTCAACGAGATCAAGAAAATCCCAGGCATCTCCAGAGTGATGTATGACCTGACGTCCAAGCCACCGGGAACCACCGAGTGGGAGTAGAACAGTGGACTATTGTACCTTCTGATTTATCCTTGTCGACTCCTCTTCTACCTCCCCTTTTCCCAGTACTGCTACATTCCCCCCCAAATCCTTTTTCTCCATTCCCACCACCCCCTTTAGTCACGCCGCCCTGTCATTGTCCCACTGAGACCGGAACATTCCCTACAATGGCAGGTTGTACTGTGATTGGCGTTAAACTGACAACGCCACTTCAGTTCCGCCTCATTATCTGGGGTCGGTTGTAATATTGGTATTATAATTGTTGTTGTCATTATCCTCATCACTGATGATAATAATGATGATGCATTGATTAGGTTTTTTTTTTAATCAGTTCTCTGTGTTTAATGCATTGTGACGGGTCACTCCTCCATGTTTTCTGTCGTAGCCACTGAAGATCTAAGATCGTTTTAGGGCAGTTGACTGTCCACGTGCAGCATGACACGAAGAAAGCCATTTTTTAAGCAAATCCACTCATTTAAGGGTTAGGTTCCAAGTGTTGCTGCTTTCTGCCTTTAAGATAAACGTGTTTTCATTAACCCAGTTTGTGCAGTGATGATTTTGGTTTGGATTTCATACCTGAATCCTTCTATGGAAGTGGCAGGTAAAGACTAGCAGTAGTAGCTCCTTTAACATGACCAATCGATGTTTATTTGCCAAATACAGATGAGATCAGACCGTTTGCTGAATGACGCTCTTACGCTGTGGACGGGTTGGTTTATCACAGAGGTTTTGCTGTGAAGGAGACTCCTAAATCTGGAGGCCTCCTGAAATTTGTGCCTGTTTTAACTTTTTTTTTTTTTTTTCTTTTCTTTTTTCAGTTACTTTGTTTTTCAGGAATGTGACTTTATTTTATGCTGCATTATTTTCTTCTGTCTTTTCAGGCAAAGGATTTTTGAGATTTGAATAGTGAGAAGTGAGAAAATGTGTTATTACTGATGTCTGCATTTTACATCACCGTGGTTGAGTTTGCCTAGGCTGGTCTTATAAACATGTAAGATCAACAGTGTACTTACTTTCACCAATAAAGGCCTTTTTATTTTAATTTTTGTGCGTGTGTGCTAGGTAGAGCAATAGGATTTTCAAAGGCAAATGAAAGGAGATTTACAGGAGGAGGAAGAATAGGTTATTGACAGGACACCAGATGAGGGGCATCATCCCGCAAAGAACGCCAAGTCCTTTTGAGCTAAATTGGGCTTAACTGAATTTGGAACACGAGTTAATGTCAATATTTGAGTCCTCTTGTGTGTGTGTGTGTGTGTGTGGCCTCATTATTAATATTCCACTCCTTTAACAGAAGTGTGTTCTTATGTCTAGAGGGAGGGGGCTTTGATTGGGCTCAAATGGAAATCTGTGTCTAGCCTTTTGTCTAATTTATGATGTAGAGAATTGTGATATGAATAACATGCTCGGTATTTATTGTCTTTAAATATTTTATTTCAAAAACGTTCTGTTGTCACGATGGCAAAAAACTCAATGCAAGATTAATTTCCCCCTCGTCTTAATCGCAAATCTTGTTAATGTCTTTTTCTCAGTGTCACCTTTACCGTGTGTATATTTTACTTGTCTAATAGAAATACAACTAACAAGTTTAAATTCCTAGTGGGTAAACTGCAATATTACATGATATTCAGTTTAATTTATGCAATTCTATGTTGATTCTCCCCTCCCCCCCCTTTTTTTTTTGTCTAAACCTGAACAATGCTGTTTTACCTTAGTATTGTGCCTCAGACCAAACCACCGCATGCAGTTTGAAACTGATATTTGTATAATGCAAACTGAGCTTTAATAAAGAACTCTGTGTTCAGATTTCTCTCATCACAAGATCTTTGATTGATCGATCGTATATCGTTTGCATTTGGTTCACACTTCTGGTGTAGTTCATTAAAAAATGGTAAAATATCTAATACTATAAAATATAAATATAAATTTTGTGCGCAGCTGGTATATGCGGGCATGTGAAGAGATTTATTGACACTGCTGTGTAAGAGACAACAGTAACATTCTGATAAATCCTTGCATAACCATCTGAAATATTTCATAAGGGGGAAAAGTGTAATATTAATTACCTCCCTCCCCGTTTAGTGATAGTGTTAATTTACACGTTCTATTGTATTATTTTGTCTTTTGTTTCCATTTAGCATTATATCACTTTTAGTCATTTTAGTACTTCAACTTATACTTTTATTTCAGTTAGCTGTCAATTCTTTTCATGTTAAAATTTTTATGTAATATTTTTTATTTTACCTTTGTTTCAATTAATGAACACGATATTTAATAGTTTTAGATAACAATAACAAAACTGTCAGAAATGACCTGAGTATCCACTTTCATGTGGGATTCGTGTAAATTTCTGTCTGTGGCAAATTAGGTGTTTATCGTTAGAAAATAAGGCAAATGCGCCCGCTAGTGGACCAAGTTATTGCAGCTTACAATATACTATTATAT